AGGCGGGTTAACCAAGAACGGTCTGATTTTCAAAAGTCCCATTTCAAAGCAGGGTAGTTTAGACACAGAACTGCATCCAAAAGAAGAGCTTGGGAAGACAGAAGAAAGAAACACGATACTAAGAATGGCTGTTTTCTAGCGTGAGGCAGCAGCTCCCTACCTCTGCATTCTGGGTATCCTGAATCTCCAGAGCAACATAAACAAGGGGAGCATTCTGCTCCGCTACTGGTGCGGGCATTAGAGAGGGGAGAAAAATAAAAAAAAAAAAAAAAAAAATCTTTACGCACTCACGAAGGAAGCCAAAAACAAACGTAAAAATTCTGAAGCAGTTCAAACTGACGTTGTGTCAACCGCCCGGCACGCCTGAGGGTCCGGATTACTTACTCTTGCTACCGCTCTGTCAGAAAGGTATCCAGCAGCAATGCTTCCCACCAGACCCCCAATCTCCAAGGCACTCATGTAGGAACTACCTAGAACGTAGGCGAAGCAAAGAACAGGCCATCAGGTTCGGTCACAACAGCAAAGCTGCTGCACGCTTTAAACCAAGCTCAACTGCTGTCAGCTCACCACGAGCTCAGAGCAGCTCTGCTGGACCAGACTCTCCAGCTCAGCCTTGCTTCCTGCCAGTCCCAGGAGGGCTCTGGCACAAGACCACACTGAGGCACTCGGCGCATGCAGTCACTTCATCGGCAAGTTATTTCAATAACTACGTGTACCTAAATGGACAGGTAGGAGGTAAGCAAACAAGTCCCTCAGATGGAGTGGCCTGCATCCTTTCGCTCTACCCGGTTGAGCTCTCTGCCACACCCCCCACACTGCAGCCACAAAGCTTAAAAATGCAGCTTTGCATCTTACCCACAAGCACGGACTGTCCCCTCTCCTGGATCAGGAAAAGCTGTCCCCAGTCAGTACAGCACGTTTTCACTCCAAAAACGACCAGGTAGCCTGTTGAGAGCACCCAGAGGTACGGTGAGAGCAGCAGCTCTGTCAAAGTACTATTGTCGCTGGAGGAAGCTGTAAGGAAGACCAGGAGGAATGTTACTACCGCTTGAGCGCAGCTACTGAACCACACCGACTCAGCAGCACTACAGACACATCTGCAAGCAGGATTCACGCATAAGGACATCCTTAGAGGGAGCTATTCATAGCTACTGGTAGTGAATGGCTTTACCTCCCCCTCGTTCTGGGTTTGCTGTGACTTCAGAATCTTTTCTGTCAACTTATTCCACGCTCGTTAAAGAGTTCAAAAGAATAATCAAAACGCTACTCCCAGTAATTTTCTGTATTGCGGTTGCCAATAAACCCTTCACAACGGTGGTTAGAAACAACGATCTGCTTCTCCAGATTTTGCGCTAATGCTTTTACACTCTGCCTGTGAAAGCCACTACACAGACCCAAACAAAGACGCTGACTTTCAGGTGCTACCTTTATTTTTTGCATCGGTCACCCAAGAACGCCTACAAACCTCCCCAGAGAACACTCTGGGGAAGCAATGTTGGTTCTGTACACAAAGAGGTCAAGTCTAGCAGCGTAGGCATCGCAGGACGGTGTGGAAGGTAGGCTGAGTTTCCACTGGCCTTTAAAATCCTACAGCAAACCTCTGTTGCAATTCCCCTCTACCTGTTCTGCTTTCAGAGGAGCACCACACTCAGTGGTCTGGACAAACATTTACTAACTAGATGTCCTAGGTTAGGACAGAAAACACTGAGCAGAGTCCACCACAAGCCAGGGGTCAAGAGAACCCACGGCGGGGTGAGTGGAGAACTGCCTGTCTTCTGGTAACGTGGAGGAGAGGAAGGTTAGGCTTAAGGAAGCATTCCCTGCTGTTGCTTTTTTCCTCTCTCCCCAGTACTCCCCAGGAGACTCGGCTACGCAAATAAAACGCCAAGAAAATGAGGGAAGACGTTACACAGATGGGCAGATGAAACAGCCAGGCACGAGCATCTCAGCGACGCACACAGGGCCACTGGCAGGCCAAGGAACAGAACTAACTGGTGGTCAGGCTCTTCCTCTGCTCTGCTGCACTTTGCTGTGACAGTCTCGGAAGCCCATGCACCGGCCCCTTCTCACAAGGCTACACTGGGGCTTGCTTTATACGATTTGTAACTTCAACACAGCAGCTTGACAGTTACCAGAATAAAGCTGCTGAAAACAACCCCTTACACGTATCCCGCTGAGCAGTGGTTTCGGGAAGCGGGAAGGACGGAGGTCTTGGTACACCGAGAGCGACACAGAGGCACCCGAACGCAGACAGAAGGCACCGCACCTTCTCCCGCGGCTGCCCGCTTACAGTGAAGTCTTGTGCTCACCTTTCTTCCCTTTCTTGGGTCCTTGTTCAACGTTGGGTAGCCCAACATCCGACGGCTCGTTTTTAATCAGGACAAGGCAAACAAAAGAGACAACCACGCAGATGAAGCCAGAGAAGGACAAAGTCATGCGCCAGTCGTAGTTCAGAGACACGAGAGCAGCGACAATGGGGCCTAAGCCTCCAGCCAAGTTCATGCTTGTAGACAGGACTGCCCACCAAGTCCCAAACTGGGAAGGCTCAAACCACTGTGCAACAACAAGAAAAATGACGTGAGGTCTGAGAAAGAGAGCGACGCTGCACCTGAAAACCCTCGAGGCCCACGCTGCGGGTTCGGGGCAATTCAGACCCAGATCTACAAAAGCAGGTAAAGGGAGCGCCTGCTCTTCACCCCCTTAGTCATGCAGGGAGCTCCAAACATTATGCGAGCGTCAGCCACGGGAGCTTGACAGGTGCTCACACCACGAGCCAGCTCACGGTTATTTCCATTTACAGACGACGAAACCGAGACGCGGGCCAGGAGAGGCAAATTTAAGAGCGCGTGGTTCCGCGTACTCACTTGCTAGGAACAGCGTCCTCCTGGAAAGGTCTGCTGGCACAGGACCGTGAACGGATACGCGGAGAGTCACAGGGTAACTTTAGGACTCGCTGTTGCATTAAGTATCAGGCACGATCGGCTCTGCATTGCAACGTGCGCTCGGAGCCAGAGCCACTTGGGTGGTGGCTGTCGGCAGGAAAATCTGAGCGCTACGTTCACAAACGCCTTCAGAAAACACTGCGTGTATTGTTTCTGTTATGTGGGAACTTCCTTTCTGCGCACACAACCATCCCGGACAGTCCTTCTCTCGCCAGCTAGACGAGGCTAGATGCCTCACAGAAGGGCAATGCAGGTGTTCGCCTCCCCTCGTCCCGCCAGCACGTGCATTCCTGGATTTTACGTCTTTCGAGAGAGGTTAGCGCACAGCTGACCTCCTTTCCTTCTGCCCTAAGGCAGGAACCAATCTGTTCGATTTAGACTACCACAACACCCAAATACAGGCAGCTTAGAGGCTCGACTCATGCTGGTCCTCCATATGTTACCCGGTTTTCTACCTGAACAGCCTGCGGTTTGCAATTCCCGAGTTCCCTGAGCATGCAGATGGAATTCTGCTCATCGCTCCTCACCCCGCAGCAAAACGCCGCAACGACAAAAAGAGATGAGCAGGCCTTTGTCTGCACACTTACAACGCTGGGTTCCGACAAATGATGTCTCTTACAGCGGAAAAGCTCTGCTACCAGGAGGTGTTACTTATCAAACTGAACTAGGATCGAGGCACACAGACGCTAATGAACTTTTTGAATCTTTGCCAGAATAAGCAGAGTCTCGTGCACGGACCCTTGCTCCGCAGGCAGAAGAAAGCACAGCTAGTAGTTTGACCTCCTTAGCTCGAAAGAGGCAGGAATAGGCGTGAGTTCCTCCGGATTCGGAGCAAGCAT